GCTCTGCAATACACATCACACAAATGTGTGCGTGTCAGCATTTATCATTGGCCATCATAGTGTGTGTGCTTGTGTGTCTACGCACCCATGCTGGTCTTTGAGGTTCGGGGCAGGGAGGTGGGTGAGGACAGCAGTGGGAGAGTGAGCGAGTCGGTCATACTGAGAACAGTATGAGAGTGCCTCCTCTCTCCTTTCTCCTTCCCGTCCTCCTCGATCTGGGAGGCACTGCTGAAACTACAGTTTAATGGACCGAGTCAGTGTTGGCAGCGGGAAAAGTCAGCCGAATATCTCGACTACCAAAACACACAAAATGCTCCTGGCATTGAGAGGGAAATGAGCAGCAGAGCTGTGGGCAAGAGCCACATAATCTGCCACACAAAAGGCATTTTTTTAATCACATCTCTGTGTTTGTGCGTGCATTTTAACAAAAAACACACATTTAAAGTTTGTGTGTGGAACTGCTTACCTTAAACCTTTCTTTGGCAGCGTGTTTCTGTCTCTCTGAGAGCTGTGGAGATTAAACAGTGTCATTAATTAATCACTAGTGCAGGGAGCTATTAGAGTCAAGTACAGACAGCAGGCACAAAGAAACGCAGCAAGACTGGAAGATGGGCAGCGTCAGCTAGTAATTATGACTTCAGTCAGTAAGGCTAGTACAACACTGATAACAGGCCTGCAGTAATAACAGCCCAGCAAGCCTCAGCACATCTCGCTCTGCTTTAGTGTGTCTGTGTGTGTGTGTGTGTGTGTGTGTGTGTGTGCTGTTTACTTTATTTGTTGGCTGAGTTCAAGAAAAACACATTTTTATCCTTCTCATTAAAAAAGGGGACAAATTATCACGCAGACTTTAGGGCTCTAAATTTGTCATATTCAACATCGCATTCAGAACGATTTGTTTCAGTTATCTTAGTGAACTTCTCAAATCACAGACTCCTGCTAGAACACTCAAGTCTGCCACTCTACTACTTCTGACCCAACCCAGATCTCGGCTGAAGTCCCGGGGTGACCGTGTGTTTGCTCCGGCTGCCCCGGTACTGTGGAAAACCCTTCCTCTCGACCTCTGCGCCTCTGATTCAAATCACGACTAAAAACCCACTTATTCAATCTCGCCTTTCCCTCTAGTTAATATTTCTTTTCTGTTTTTATATCATGCACTTTTATGCTCATTTAAATTCTTGTTTACTCTGTACCTGTTGCTTTCCTGTGTATCAGTGACAGCTACCTGCTTGCATACTTAGTACTTGCTTTGGTCCTATTTCTATTATCCTCCTATTCTCTATCTTACTTGTTAAGCACCTCAGCATACCCTTGGTTTTTAAGTGTGCTTTATAAATAAAGTTTATTATTATTAGAGTTAAAACACCAACTTTGTTTTGATAAATGTTATTCTCATATCCACACAGGGCTCCTGCAGAGAGGGTTAGTTTAAAACTCATCATCACCATCAGCACTCATCATCCAGGAGGATTAAGCAAGCTTTGTTAAATATTTTCAATATTTTTAAGGATCTCCTCGTCATGTTGTTCTTGGTTTTTATAAATGTCTGTAGGACAACCACCTGGTTGCTCGATTCTGGGGGGAAACTGCAGATTATCAAAGCTCTTCCACATCCCTTCTGCTTTCCTGAGCAGTGAATCAAGTTGGTGCACTTCCTCAACTGACCACAAGGTGGAGCTACTCGGTTGCCCTCTATTTAAACCCTGGGACAGACGTGGCTGAACATGCAGCGTGTGCAGCATTATGGATCGTATTTGAGTAGAATTGAACTGACCTGTCTGTGGGAGTCAGTGAGACTTTACTTCCGGGTGTCCAGCTAGAGGGCTGGCCGCCGTCATCGTGTCTATCTTTGACTCGGGACTCTAAGGTGGTGTAGCCTCTCGTCATATTCTCCCCCCCTTTATACTCCTCTCTCTCCTGGGGCTCTGGGGCCAGGCTCATCTGAAGTGGCAGAGACTCCAAGCTACGATGCAGCCCAGACATCCGAGGGTAGAGCAGGGGAGAGGTTCTCCCTTCACTGCTTTCTACCCCGAGGGAAGTGACCTGCCTGGGACCAAAACCTATGGCAGAACTGGAAAAGCAGGCTGAAGAGTTCACATTTAGTACAGGGGCGGGGCTGGGGGTCAGGCAAGAGCTAGTGGAGTTGCCTGCTGAACCGGAGAGGTCTTGAAGCTTCGAGTAAGGAGGAATCTTAGGAGGCAAAGTGTCCCGAACCTCAGTGTCCAGGCTGTTTGAGCTCAGCTTGTCAAGCTGAACCATCGATGGAGGCTTTGCCAGGCTGCGCACTCCAGACAACCTAAAGACAGAGAAAGATGATGTTGAAGCAAATGTGTATTTTAGATGTGATCGTCTGTTTATGTGGAAATGGTAGCTTTGATACCTGTGTGTGCTGGGAGATGGGAGCTCCATGCCCTTGCCGCTGCTGGGGGGCCTCAGCCCTTGTACTTTCCCTCCGTTCTCTGATGGGGTCTGAGCAGGACTTCCCTTCATAGACCCTCCCCCACACTCAGAGTCAGAAACCACAGCTTTAGCTTTGGCTCTCTCCTTCTCCTTCTCTCTGTCGGTTTGATTGACAGGACCGGGACTGGGGATCCCACGTCCTGGTTTACTCAGTCCAGCTCCAGAACTGTGCACAGAGCCCGGCTCTTTGAGCCTTGAGCCCTGTGATGCTGCGACGGAGGGTTTGATGAGTCCAGAGCCGGCGTCCATGGTGGTGCTCACTGGGCGCGCTGAGCTCGGCCGTGTTAAAGTCAGGGTGCTCGTTTTCGCGGGGCGGGGCAGAGAGCGGTACTGCAGAGACGTTCTGGCATTTGGAGACAGAAAACCACTCTGATCGCTGCTCGAAACATCGAGACTTGTCTTTCGTCCTCCGCCACCAGCACCTGGCTTCACAGGAATACCGGACGTTTTGGGAATTTTCCCTACAGTTGCAGAACCACTGGGTATGCCACTGCTAACTGCACTGGTTACACTGGGCGGACTTGAGTTGTTTGTGCTATTACTGGTAGCTGCTGTTGGTTTCTTGAAGCCAAAGTTTCCACCAGTGGAGGGCCTGACCAGGCCGGATGGAGGCTTACGCTGCTCAGCAGCTCCGGTGCCGTTTCGATGGTCTTTACCAGCATCAGAGGAGGAGCGCTGAAGACTGGAAGTCTTCACTGCTAAACGGGACTTATCCATGGGCTTCCCATCAGACTTCACTGTACCTAAAGCAGAAAAGAAAACCTGATGAGCAGCTTGAACAGAGTAAAGTAAAATGATGACTGAAACTAAGCGAGCCATATTAGGAGACAATATCTTATCTACACACCTACAATGTCTGACTGTCAGCTGATAAAAATAAATCCCTGTCTGAGCAAGCAGACAGTTTGTAGACCAGACTCACAGCCAGCTTAACCCGCACACATGTGCTCTTATCAGGCAGTTACTCCTCTTTTCCATCCTGATGAACTGAAAAAGTTTCCTTCTTCCAGCAAGTTTTTTAAGCTTTCCAGTCAGTGAACAGTGACGTCACAGCTGTAGAGTGGCAAAATTAACATGTGCAGCATGGGTGCTGGAAAGTGGTGTTCATGTTCATGAAGCACGTCTGTAGGCACTAAACTGCATCAAACAGCCAACACGACTGAATTCCTCCCATGTTGGAGGCTCACTGGGGAAAGGTGAGGCAACTTAGTGAAACAGGGTTCCCCATTTGAACATGTGGCAAATTAAACGGACTTGTTTGGAAGTTATTAAGAGAATAAAAGTCTATTACACATGTGCACTGCATGCACCACCCACACAAGTCCACACTACCAACACTCTTAATGTGCATCTGATGGGAGTAGTTATGTGAGGTTTATATACAAGGCATTAACAGAGTCAAAGAACCGCTGTTGAATGAGACCTACCGGCATGCTGCCTGAGGACATCTGGAGACACTTAAGAGTATTTATAAACCCGCAAAAGACAGACACATAGGATCACACACACACACACACACACACACTTGTAGTTCTTAGTGATGGGATCTTGCAGAAAGCACTGGGTTATTTCATATAAGTGAAAATTGGGTTTACATGTCAAATCAAAAGCTCAATCCTTTGTGTAACCGCATCGTAGCCTGATCCATGAACACTGGGCTGAAGACACACACTGTTGGCATTGAGACACACCGACAAAACTCAGGCAATTGTATTAATTTTGACACAAATAAAGCCTGATTTACTGACACGGGCTTGTAGAGACCGTGGAGCTCGCGGCTTCACACGGTAAGCGCGTAGGTGGTGATGAATCACTACGTTTCTCAGCACAAGAGGCCAACATGTCTGAAGATATGAAGATGTGAGCACAACGCTCAAATTCAGAGCGAGTGGCAGACAGAGAAACCTTTTTCAATGAAACATCAAAAAACTGGCTTCTCTGGCTCTTAGAGGAAAGTGGCTCCTTCTCTTCTTCTGCCACTTTGGTAAAGTAGAAACATCGTATCTATGCTGCGCTTGTTACGGAAACCCACCCTAATACTCTTATTTGTCAATAATACCAG